ACTAATCAGAGGCATTATATTTTGTTTGCTTTTAGGTTCAAGACTGATTTTTAATAAATAAAAAAGTTACATGTATTGATATGCTAGTAAATGTTAACATCATGCATTCTGGATAAAAACATTGAAAGCCTTGATTTGACTTGATGTCAGACACAATAGATATAATCTCAAGAGCACTGATGATAGTTAAATTAGGAAGTGATGAATTCTTACTATATATTATGTTTTGTTCTTAGCACAGTTTTATATTTATAAAATTTAATTTATATTAATGGTTATGTTTAATAACCAATTAGCAAAATTACTGAAATGTGACAATATCTCTATTCCCATTTCTTTCCTGCTTTATCCTTTTAAAATATGTAATATTATTTATAAGTATATTTTAAATTTATAAAAGCTACATTGTACTATAAATCTTGTTTTTTAGCTTTTCAAACGTTCATAATTGTGTTTTAAAATCCATCCCCTGCCAGGCGCAGTGGCTTACGCCTGCAATCCCAGCACACTGGGAGGCCAAGATGGGCAGATCACCTGAGGTCAGGAGTTAGAGGCAGCCTGGCCAACATGGTGAAATACAAAATACAAAAATTAACCAGGTGTGGTGGTGCCAGCCTGTAATCCCAGCTACCGGGAGGCTGAGGCAGGAGAATCACTTGAACCCAGAAGGCGAAAGTTGCAGTGAGCCAAGATCACACCACTACATTCCAGCCAGGGCAACAACAGTAAAACTCCATCTCAAAAAAATAAAAAAATCCATCCACATTGCTCTACATATACCCTTATCCATGTCTTTCACATACACACCCATGTTGTCCTCAATTCCCCACAATGCAGCAACAAACTTTCTTGTACTTCCTTATGACCTTAAGAATGTGAGAGAAAGTTCTCCGGTATACACTGATGAGGGAATATGATCAGCCAGGTTTTTTGTTTGTTTTTCTGTTTTTTGCTTTTAAACTTATGCCCACTTTTCTGTTGGCAGTCAGCAGCCACATCTGAAGTTATAGCTCTCTGTTTTAGACAAGGTTTATTCTTCCCTTTGTTACAACCTAGTCCCTATAGGGACCTGAATTTGTGACCCTAGTTTGTGAGATTACTTTTTAAATACAGTTTGGTTCAGGATTTATAAAAACCTAATAAGGCTGGGTGTGGTGGCTCACACCTGTAATTCCAGCACTTTGGGAGGCTGGGATGGGCAGATTGCTTGAGTCCAGGAGTTTGAGACCAGCCTGGGCAACATGACAAAACCCCATCTCTACATAAAAATGCAAAAATATATATATCCAGGCAGGGTGGCATGCACCTGTAGTCCCAGCTACTCAGGAGGCTGAGGTGGGAGGATTGCCTAGGAAGTCAAGGCTGCAGTGAGCCGAGATCTTGACACTGCTCTCCAGCCTGGGTGACAGAGCAAGACCCTGTCTCAAAAGAAAAAAATAAGCCTAATAAAATGATTGCACACCTGGAAAACCTACATAGGCTTCCTTAAGTACCATATATATATATATATATATATATATATATATATACACACACACACACACACACACATATATATATACAGTCATTCATGGTGTGTAGTTCACATTGAAGTCAAGTTGGGGAAAAAGAAACTCATTTATCTCTTTCTCTTTTCCTTTATTCAAGTAGCCATTTTTATTTAATTTTATTCAATTCAGAAATATTTACTGAACTCCTCTTATTAGGAAGCACTGGATTGGATATAAAGAAAATACCATACAAGGCATAGAAGACTCAGTCCTGCCTTGCAAAGGGCATGTAGTCTTGACTGGAAAGACACACGCTCACAGGGTAGACTGTTTTAGGAATAAGGCTCAAAATCCTAAGGAAATTGAACACTCGAACAAAGAATTCTTAGCAAAGCAATTTTACTTCTGTGCAGAGGGGTGCCTCCTTGGCCAGTTGCCATGAGAACACACCTGAACAAAGGGGCACGAGAGCCTTTATTCCTGATGCAAGTCCTGTACCCTTTCCCCATTGGCCGGGGTTGGGTCATACAATCTAAACTAATCCCAGTTGGCTAAACATTTGACTGTTTAAGATAGGGTGGGCACGTAAAACCAAGTGGAGAGGAAGGGGAAGGGGTATCTGTAATGAGCTAGAAAGTTAGTCCTCTTTCCAGATAAGTAAATGAATGTGAGCTGGTACTGATAACGCTTGGTACTGAGGCGTGCCTGGGCATCTAACAAAGGCAAAAAGGAAAAAGGAGAAAAAGTGTGTGGGGGGGGGTGTACTATGAATTAAAGAATAAAAGATTGATCAGATTATTTGAAGAGAAACCTCATATCCCACAACTGGAAAAAACAATTTGATGGAAAGTTTTTCTTCGTCATTTACCAGCTCAAAATCTCAACTATCAAAGGCAAGAAAATAAACACACACACCCCTCTACAGCTTTACCTTTTTCTGTATGGCCAAAGCCTTCAGTCCAGCGGACCACTTCCCACTCCAATTACCATGTTAGCCTTGCAACTCACATCTCTGCACCCTTCTGATAAAGCCTCCACAATGCAAAACACGAATCGTATCATATTGCTCTACTTCTCTAAACACTTCCATCTACTCTGTGGTTTTAGAAGAGAATCTGATAACCCCACATTACAAAGCCTTAATAAATTGCCTTATTGCAGCTCTGTATCATTACTTATAAACACTGTAGTCTAGATAGCCAGGACACACTGCATTTTTTTTTTTTTTTTTTTTTAAGGCTCAATACCTCTTGCCATTTTGCACGTGGTTTTCCTTCTGTCTGAAATGCCCTTTCTCCACCTGGCACTTGAATGGCCCCTTCTGAAAACTTCTTAGTTATCTTTCAAAATCAGTTCAAATGTTAGCTTTTGTGGGTAACCTATTGACCTCTCCAGGCTGAGTTACGGTGTTCCCCCAAGGTGTCTTGTTGAAATCATTATTTTTTCCTAAAATCTCTGTTCTAATTTACTTACATGCCTGTGAATGCTTAGAGGTTACTAACTTCAGTTTTGTGAACTTAGTAACTGGCACAAAGTCTGGCACTGAGTAGCACCTGAACAATTTTTTCTCTGGAATAAATAAAGTAATGGTTTCATTGAAATGATTAGCATTAAATTAATGATTAGCATTAAACTACAATGTGTGTATAAAACATTCCGGTTAGGTTGGGTTCATTGCCATTCCTATTTACTTTAAAGAGTTTGTAATTTCTGGCTCTTTTCCAACTCTGATTCTTCAGACTAGAAATGCAATTTCTGCTAATATATTTATTTTAAGCAAACCCAACATCAATAAAGTTATTTGTATTCCTTATAACATAAGCATAAGAACGTACAGTGATATAAAAATGCAGCTATTATCTCTTACAGGCACTGGTAAAGCTTTTGTGACTAGCGCTACTATACTGGCAAGGTATTGCTGCTTGTAATGAACTAAATATTTCAGTGGCTTAACACAATAGGAGTTTTTCTCTTGCTCACATGGCAACCCAGCGTATGTTTTCCTAGTCAAGCAGCCTTCTTACATATGTTATTGCAGAAACCTAAGTCCTGTTCATCTTCTTCCTCTGCGTGCCATTCCCTTGGTAGCTTTTCTTTGCTAGGGTTTCGCAAGAGAATGAAATCCTGTTGAAAATGATCTGAGGGTCTGTTATGTTCTCAAGAATGGTACATAACTGGTCTGTGATAAATGCTCAGGTAACTGATTAGGTATTATAGATACTTAGGATTTTGTCATGAACAATCAGCATCAACATCATCTGGAAAATTGTTAAAAATGCAGATTATTGGGCTCCACCCAGTATCTACTAAATCCAGAACTCTGGGGCTGCTCTGCAGCAATTAGCAAGGCCTCCAGGTGATTCTGTTGATCCTAAAGTATGAGAACAACTGCTCTAGGGCATTAGGACTTAATTCTCTCCCCAGTAAGTTGTAAAGATTTGCTGTAGGACCTAAGAGTCTTCTGCTTCCAACAATGGAAAGGAAAAAAAGGTAGAAACCTCACTAAATTTTTCAAAGCCTCAGCCCCAAACTGACAAACACTTCTGCTCACATTCTACTGGCTATAACTTCTCGTATAGCTAGCTGAACCAGTGAGGTGGAACCAGCTCAGGACGGCCTACTGTTATATTGCCAGGCATTTTTTGAGGCACTTGATGTTATCTTCTTGGTAATTTAAATTTAACCGTGGTGGGAATATTTACACCACAGAAATTGGCAAACACTAAAAACAAGGTGTTTTTAAACACCCTGAGATCAGAGATCCAGTTGATATACATCTACCAGCACACCACTGGCCAAATACAGGCTTGGCTTATGCCACGGAGAGCTCTGCAGCTGAAATACCTCTTCAAACGTGTCCTGCTTTAAGCCAAATTAGTCAGGCCTTTATACCTTCACATTGATCAGTCACTGAATGAGGGCTGCCGGGGAAAAGGCAAGACCTTGGACAAGGCAGCTCTCTGCAGCTCAGGCAGTCCCTGAAGGGACTGACAGCTGAAGAATGTCTAGTGACATCATTTCCATCATCTAGAACAAGAGTCTTTCCTTGAAGGGGGGCTCTAAGTAGCATCGTCCCATGTCCACTGCAGCCCCTCCCTTTAAGAGATTCTGATATAATCGACCGGGAGTGAGCCAGTACATTAGGATTTTTCTCAATTTATCTGGATAATTTTAGTATGCAACCACAATAGATACTCTTCAAGAATTAAGCCAGTTGCTGAGAGGGAACTGTGTTTTGTTGGTTTGTTTTCATTAATGTTTGCACTCTACTTCCTTTTAATAAAATTATGCCTGGAGAGTTTATATGGAGCAATCGATAAATATTTGTAGGGTGGTTGGCTAAAATAATTATAATTCCTTTAAAAGAAATTCTACCCACTAAAGTTAATTTAGAAGTAAAATATAATAGAAATTCAATAATATATTCACCAAATGAATTAAGATGTTCATGAATTAAGTTATCTTCAGAGTGTTAATCGAATAAGTAATGTGTATGCTTTTCTATTAAAGAGGAAGTTAGAAGACCTGAGCTCTGAGTGGAAGGCGGTAAACCATTTACTTCAAGAGCTGAGGGCAAAGCAGCCTGACCTAGCTCCTGGACTGACCACTGTTGGAGCCTGTAAGTATACTGGATCCCATTCTCTTTGGCTTTAGCTATTTGTTCAAAAGCACAACTATGAAGTGATGTCTGGATGAGAGAGAAAATTTGTTTCAATTCTGAAGATAGAGATAAAGCTTTGTGTTGTTGACTATGCAAAAAGTCTTAGAGTACATTCCTTGGAAATTGACTCTGATTCAAAATGTTGTATGACAATGGGATATGGGGAGTGTTCTCTGGAGATACACCCATAAGGAAGAGAAGAGTACCAGGGAGATTGTGGGAGAGTCTGAAACATGAGTTGGCTGCAACAGAGGCCTAAGCCAGTCTCACAGGAGCCCTACATCTGGGCTGGCTCTGCAGAGCTGTCCTGAATTACAGGCAGTGGGCCTGGACTTTGTATTTCTGATCCAGCCAGCCATTGGCCATGGGCTGGCTGCTGCCTGACAGTGGAAGGACAACTTGGACAAGTTTTCTGAGGCCGAAGGCAATTCTTAGTAAGAAACACCTTTAACAACCGATATTCCTAGCATCCAAGGATGTGTGCATTGTCCCTGAAGAGAGATTCAGGGTGGACTGCCAGATTATCCACTAACACTACATGAAGATGCCATCTCAACAAATCCTATATCATTTAGACAATATTCTTCAAATATGGCTACAAGAATCATAGAAACCACAGAAACACACACAGTCCTACTAGCACCTCTCCCTGTCCCATTTGCAAACAATTTAAGAGCTCTTCCATTTTTAGTTCAAGTAAAAGAAAAATGGATTGTGAGGACCACAAGCTGACTTGGGGGAGGAATATTTCTTCGTTTAGCTGTAGTTTTAACTTTTGTTTTCACTGCATATTTTCAGTCTATTTTATTTTCCTTCCTATTCAATTGTTGATAGAAGGTATTCATACATTCTCATGTCTATGTTAATGCTGGCTTTGACTCTCAGGGGAAAAAAGCCAGAAAACTTCTTTGCTGTACCATTCTATAATTAGCCAGAACTAAAAACATCTTTGGGTGTTTTTTTTTTTTTTTTTTTTGTTTGTTTGTTTGTTTTTTGGCCTTGTCTACTTTTCAAAGATCAAATGATTGAAGCATTAAAGCATGGTGACTGGTTCTTCAGGTAAAGTTGATTTTTATTTTATGTCAAGTAGAAAAATACTGAACTGGAAGAATCACAGCTGGGGTAGCACAATCATAATTCATTAGAAGGCATAGTGCTTGGATTAAAAGAAGCCCTACAATCTGAGGACAGTGCATCTCATGTGTCCCCTGGGATTTCTCAGAAGTCATCAGAGTTAGATTTAATGACTTTGGAGACTTGAAAAGATATGCAAACATTATGGTTTTGTTTTGTTTTTTTTTTTCTTTTTGTCAATCTGGGACACTAAAATTGCTATATCAGGGTTATATTCAACTAACTATGTCAGGTTTATTTCTTTTTATGAGCTCTAATTTTTGGTTCCCTCAGCGAATATGCATAGTTTGTTCCTATATTATCATTTATTGGTGTCTGTTTTCTGGCTGTCCCTGACATGTTGAGCCTCAGACTCAGACATAAACTCTATGAAGAGATTATGTTCCAACGATTCTTTATAAGTTTGTTAAACTCTGAACTTATGGGTTTATGTCCCATATAAGCCACTTTACACATGGTAGGAAGGCTTCAAAACCAGGGCACCGAAATTCATTTAATGTGTATTTTATCTAAATGTAACAATAATGTTTATAAGAAAAAGACATTCAAAGTTCCAGTTTTGATTTCCAGCAACATATATAATTCATCCACTTAATAAATATTTATTAACTTCCATGTGTTGAGCATCATACTGGTGCTGCGAGTACAGCATAGAATAAGATAAGTCCCTCCTTTCATAAAACATATATTGTAATATATGTTTTATGTAATATATGTAATAAACTAATGAAGAAAATATATACTGTCTCAATAATTGTAAGTACTGTAGAGTGTAGTCTACAGATTGATGTCAGTGGGTATTTGTTAGACATGTAGAATCTGAGGCCCCTATCCTAGACCCACTGAATCACAGTCTGCATTTTAATAGAATCCCCAAGTGAATCCCGTGCACATTGACGTTTGAGAAACACCATTACAGAGAACAACTAAGCAGGGAGACATCATGAGGGTATTATTGTCTATCGTGTGGTCAGGGAAGCTTGTCTATTAAGAGAACATCAGAAAACTGATGTAAGTGAGGAAGTGAGCCTGGTGTATTTCTGGGAAAATTATTACAGGCAGGGAAAGAAAAGACTGAGCAATGATACTGAAGTAGGAACAAGATGGCAGAATATTAAGGAGATCAGTAAAACTAGAGGAGCAGGTCAGGGGAAGTGTGATGGAAGCCATGAGAGATATTCATCTTTCATAGCACTGCCCTACTTCCTTCTCCCCAACACGAGGGTCTCAACACCCCCTACCACTCTTGTCTTCTCCTACGCCCTCCACATTGCTGCCAGTGTGGAGAGTCTGGGAATGCCCTCAGCTCAAAGCTATTGGTGACAGCTGGCAGAGTTGTGGTAGTAGCTAAAAAAGAATTAAGAGAAAGAGGAATTTTTCTCAAAAGCAGGTGCTTTTCATCCTCTTTAGCACACTGAAACAGATCTGGGCATAAAGTCAAGATGTTAAATACACAAATGTTGAATGAAAAAAATCAACAGGTAGTCATTTAGATCCAGAGCCGCTTTTTCTTTTTTCTTTACTGTGGTGGTTCAAATATCAGAATAAAGAATTGTTTCTATTCCTGACTTCCTGACTTGCAGGAGGTTAATCAGATATAAATGCAATATAAAAAAAGAAAATCTAATTTGTATTATGCTTCTTGTGTATGTTTATTATTTCATGCACTATATTACAATAGAATAGAATTTATAATTCATTATAGTAAAATTTTTCCATTGCATTCCTACTATTGAATGTGTAGAAGCTACACATATATGTGTAGCTTTAACATATATGTCTTTATCCTGAAATAATTTCAAAGAACATATGGTTATAGTTAATTTTTAAAGATTAAGGACCCCAAAGTTTAGAGGGGAAATAGCTAGATTAAGGCCACACAGCTGGAAAGCAAGCAAGCAAGGGTTTCAGTCCACGTGTGTCAAGCTCCAAAGCCTGTGTTTTGTTTTGTTGCTATGCTTTACACTATCTCTCTGTCCAAGAACCTAATGGAAAATTACAGATACGGATGGAACTGGCCAGCAGTTAATATAATTTAACTCAATCTTAAACATATCTGGAGTGAAAGTGATATATGTTTCTGTGTCCTCTCCTCTCCCGTCTCTCCTCTCCCCTCCTCTCCCCTCCTCTCCCCTCCCCTCCCCTTCCCTCCCCTCCCCTCCCCTCCCCTCCTCCCTCCTTTCCTCTCCTTTCCTTTCCTCCTTCTTCTTTTCTTTTTTTCAGACGGAGTTTCACCCTTGTTGCCCAGGCTGGAGTGCAGTGGTGTGATCTCAGTTCACTGCAACCTCTGCCTTTCAGGTTCTAGTGATTCTCCTGCCTCAGCCTCCCAAGTAGCTGGGATACAGGTGCACCCCACCACACCCAGATAATTTTAGTATTTTTGATAGAGATGGAGTTTCTCCATGTTGATCAGGCTGGTCTTAAACTCCTGACCTCAAGTGATCCACCTACCTCAGCCTCTCAAAGTGCTGGGATTACAGGTGTGAGCCACCATGCCTGGCCTGTTTCTATGTTTTTTCTACTTAAGAAGTAGAAAAAAATGGTTCACTCTATTTGAATTTCTTAGAACCATAGAAATCCAAACTTGGAATAATTACTGCAATTATTATCTAGTTGAATATTCTCCTTTTATAGATGTAGAAGCTGAGGCCTAAAGTTGCTTGTTTTGTTTTATGAACACTAAACCAAACTACCTTGTGGCTGCTTACTTAAATTATAAATTACAATGGGGTGGCCTTGCCTGAACAGTATAAATTGTTTTAATTTTCAGGACAAATCAACATGCTGGAAAAAAAAAACCTTGCAATTCTTGTTGCTTGGATACCTGTCCATATCAGTTTATATTGTTGCATAAAAGCACCCCAAAACTTAACAGTTTAAAACAAGAGTTATTTATTGCTCATAATTCTGTGCATCTGAAGTTTGCTCTGTGATTAGCTGAATAGTTATTCTGATGGTCTTGCTTGCTGTTATTTATGTGGATGCAGTTATCTAGCAAGTGAACAGGAGCTAGATGGTCTAAAATGGACTCTCTCAGATATCTGACAGCTGGCTGTTGATTGGAGAACCTTGGTTCTTCATAAAGCCACTCATCGTCCTGTAGGCTAGACTAGGCTTCATTACATGCTATTCTCAGGGCAGTGTTCCAAGAGAGGGAGAGTGGAAGCTACAAGATCTCCTGATGCCTAGGTTTTGAAACTTGTACATTACTTCTGCTAAGTTCTATTGGTCAAAGCATGTCAAAAGATCAGCCCAAATTCAAGAGATGGGGAAATTACTTCATCTCTTGAAAGGAGGAGCTGCCACATCACATGTCAAAGGGGTATGCATGTTGGGATGGAAGGTTTTATTGTCACCATATTTATACACAAATCACTACATTGGGGAAAAGGGGGGAAACTGGAGATCAAAAGTGTTGGTCTGAATCCAATGCTCTATTTCAGTGATTCTCAAAAATTACCATGTGTTACAACCACCCAGTTCTTAGCGAAGTATAGATTACTGGGCTTCAACCCCAGAGTTTCTGATTTACTAGCTCTGGGGTGAGACTTGCATCTCTCTCTCTCTCTCTCTCTCTCTCTCTCTCTTTTTCTCTCTCTCTTTTTTTTTTTTTTTTTTTTGTGTGTGTGTGACTGAGTCTTGCTCTGTCACCCAGACTGGAGTGCAGTGGTGCAATCTCAGCTCACAGCAACCTCTGCCTCCTGGGTTGAAGTGATTCTCCTGCCTCAGCCTCCTGAGTAGCTAGGATTGCAGGCACCCGCCAACACGCCTGGCTACTTTTTGTATTTTTAGTAGAGACAGGGTTTCACCATATTGGTCAGGCT